TTTGACATATGGTGTTGTATTATTTCTACTGGCCTTTTTTTGGTTTGTTGATGATTTATGCCCAAACTTTGTTTTGATTTGTTTGATGCATATGTGTGAGTTGTCCTGAAACTTATGAAGAAAAAAAAAAACTAATGAGAATAACGTGGGTGTTTCTAAACTTTTTATGACAAATCAATTGATTAGATACTGATATCAAATAAATATTATTGTGGTTTTGAATTATACAACACACAATTCTTTAATAGATGTATCAAAAAAATGAATCCTTTAAGCTGATACACCCTTCCCCTTTCCAAATCCATCAACTAACACAATGGTAGTGAATTATAGGCGGAAATTGGTAGTCTGACAGCAGTTAGAAGTCCCGTTTTGTATTTAAATAAAAAAACAACACTTCTTATTTCTCTAGGTGAAGATAACATCACTTCTTATTATTAACATTAAATCAAAAAGCTATTAATGATTCTTTAGGACTTCCTACCATGTTTCTCTTCCAAGCATGTGTATCAAATTCATCATCCTTTTCTGTTCTGTACTTGTACCATAATGCCAAAACACTTAATTCTTGTGGGAGGGGGGATAATGAGAATTAGATAAACCAGAGGGGCATATGATATGAATTGAGCATAGAGGTGACCCTTTTTCAAAAGCAATAAGGTGTTTTTATTTGGTTGATTAATGCACAAGTTGAATGGTTTATTTAGATTTGTGAATTGGGCAGTCTAGTTGTTGATTTATCATGTGTAAAGTTTTGCAAGAGTTAATTTAGCAGATTGTGTGTGATAAAGAAGCTATGGTTTGACTCTAAGATACTTCATACTTGTAAGTTAAGAGTTCCTTCAACTATAGTCTCTAGGTTGTATGATTAATAATTTTTCATATTTGAGGTGCTTTGTTTTATGTTACTGTTGATGTTAATTTCCCAGATGTGCAGCTTTCCATTAGGAGTGAGCCAAACTTTCTTGGAGAGCAATGAAAATCTGTTACTAGTGACTGTCTGAGGTCATTCACGTCTTTAATTACATTTTGCATTTTGTTTCTACGTAGTTTTTTAGTTCCTTTAAGGAACAAATTGTCCTTTCTATGTAGCGCTTTTCACTTGTGTACAATTTACAAACAACTACTTCATAAATCCCAGTTTCAGGACCCTATGCTCCCAAAATTATGAAAATCCTAGATCTTTAGGTAATAAATAGTTATTCTTCCCTAAGCCAATCTTTAGGCCCCCAAAAAAATGAATTTGAAATAAATTTGTTATATTTCACAACTATTTATTTATTTTTTTGACAACAAAAGGGAAACTTTATTGATGAAAAAGTTATATACAAACGAAGAACCTACATCAATAAAGCGAGAAAGTGCAACAAGCATCATAATTAAAGTCAACAATCCCAATTAGGTTGGCACCGAAGAGCTAGCTCAATCATATACCAGCACTTAACCCAAGATTGGAGAGGGTCCAATCAACCAGCCAACAAAGAGAAAGAAAAGAGTAGAAATAACAGAATATCACCAAGGTAAAATAATCCCCAAAGCTACAAATAAACACTCAAGGCCCAACACAGCTCTGTAGCAGTAGCCACAACTGGCAGCAGCTCTGTAGCAGCAGCAGCAACTAACAACAGCAACTGTCATCAACTGGCAGTAGCAACATATCTGTAAACATTAGTAGCATCTAGCAGCAATAGCAACTTGGTTACACTCATAGACTTTCAAGCCCCAAGCTAGACTTCTAATCCCCAACCAAAACACCAACTGATACCCCCCTCAATTACCTAAACAGAGCCTACACAGGATATAGCAGCAGCCATAAAATACAACATTCCCATCACCTCATAAACATAGCCTAATTTGATTCAAATTTTCCACAATATCATGCACTGAAAGTGTATATTAGACAAATTATACTTAACCCATAACCCAATCCTCACCTTTACCCAGCTCTTCCATATTGTGTTGTTTGCCTTTGAAGACACACTCATTTCTCAACCTCCAGATTGACCATAGCATTGCAATTGGAATAAGCCTCCACGTCTTTAACACCAGCTTTTTTAATTTTGTTCCGAACCACCATAGCAACAGACCCTCCACAGTAGCAGGTGTAACCCAGCTTGTTCCCCATCAAAGCAACACTTTTGACCAGACCTTCCACACCTCAGGGCCGAGCAAAAATAAATGATCCACTGATTTTGCTTCATTCTTGCAAAAGGGACATTCATTTACCATTGTTGAACTAAGCACCCCAAACTTTACCAACATATCAATGGTTTTGACCCTCCCTCTCCATGCCAACCAGCTCAGAAGCTGTGACGAAAACCATTGATATGGGGAATAAGCTGCCTATACGTCGTCGCTGAAAGTACCTGGTGACGAAAAATTTGGTCATGGAATGTGACAATTGCCAACCAAACTTGTTAGTCGTGGAATGTGACAATTGACGACCAAATTTTTTGGTCGTGAAATCTAACAATTGCCGACAAACTTTTTGGTCGTGGAATGTAAGAATTGCCGATCAAACTTTTTTGTCGTTGAATGTGACAATTGGCGACTAACATGTTTAGTCGTGGAATGTGATAATTGACGACTAACATGTTTGGTCGGGAAAATATGACTTTTCGCGACTAAAGTATTTTAGCTACTAAATGGATTAGTCGCAGTAATTATATATTTAGCGACCAAAAATTTAGTCGGCAAATAAAACTTTTTCCCAACTAAAAAACTTTTTAGTCACTAATTACTTTTCGCGACCCTCAATTGGCGACTAAAGTGGCGACCAAAAAAATTAGTCAAGGATAACTTTTGTCGACTAAAAATGAACTTTTGCTGAGTAAATTTTTAGTCGACAAAAGTGCGAATTCCTGTAGTGTCTCCTTGGATCCTTTCCTTGGCTCCCTACTTGGTGGTCTATTGGGCTCACTTTTGGGCCTAATTTCGATGATCCAAATCGTTCATATTTTAAAATTTGTTGAGTATATCATACCTGTAAAAAATCAAGTAGATCGAACTAAAAATAGTTTATTAAAAAAAAATTAATAAACAGTTTTATTTTTTAATAAAACTTTTAGTTTGATGATCCGAACACGTGGTTCCGATATCCAATCAACTTGATTTTTACAAGTATGATATATTTGACAAATTCTAAAATGTGAATGGTTCGGATTATCAAAATTAGGCCCAATGGCCCACCAAGTCGGGAGCCAAAGAGAGGATCCAAGGAGAGGATCCTTGCTCAAATTGTTCGCCAATTCGGCTTGGTAGTAGCTCAGTTTAACTTATTTGTTAAATAAATAACTGAATTTGAGTCAGATTTTTTGACTTGTTTAATAAACGAGTCAAGCTTGAATTCGAGTAAGTTCGGCTCATTTATTATTTATCCAAATAATACAATAAATATATTATTTATGTATAAAATAGTATAGAAATATATATACATTATAGAATGGATAATGTTTTTTATATATATTAAATAATATACATATAGTATGTATATATATTTAAATAATATGAATAATAGCCACACACACAAATTATTCTTGAGCTTTGAGTCGAGTGAGTTCAAACTTGATCAATTTTTTGAGCTAAACTCGAGTCTTGCAAATCTCAACTTAGCTCATTTTCAACCTTTAGCAAGCCATACAGACATGGGTGTGTGACCTATACACTATTCATGGGTATATAATGGCTTCTTATAATTATTCATAGTTTTATGAAAATGAATTTGTTCCTGTGGGGATTTATTTTTTTAAGCAGGACTACGTGGTCCAGGATCTTGGTTATGCGGCATGACTTCATATGGAGTGATGTTAGTGACCGAAGTTGTGACATTGATCAAATCTCAGCTAGAGTATGACTCCTAGAATCTTAATAAGAATATGAAACCCAACCCAATTAAAAAGATGAATTCTAGATAAGGAATACTTACTAGGCAAGTAGAGTACTAGATGAAAAAGAAAATCTAAGATAAGACATGACACTCCTATATATAAACACCCCCATGGATTGAGGAACACATATTCTAATAATTTATTGTAACTTATAGTTTTAGCATCAGAGTGCTTGTCCTTTCTCAGAATGGTCTTGCAAATTTTAGATAAATTCATCTGAAGTATCGATAATATTTTAAATATTTTAAAATAGGTAATCCTCTCAAAATTGGTTGTATAGTCAAATTTTACACACAATTCACGTACAAAACACAAAATCAAATTGATCCAAAACTATAAATCTCATATGCAAAAACTATATTGACTCCATCTAAAATTTTAAACCCTACTATTTTATGCTAATAAAAACATTATTTTACTGACTTATCAAACTTTAGTTTTTTGGTGTAATAATTACCCATATTCTCTTATTTTTAACCCCATCTTTTTCGGCCATCTCTTGTCTACAGCCACTAGGTTGAGACTTTTTCTCTACAAACCAAAACTTTCATTTTACAACTTTCTTTGTCTTTCTTGACCAAACTTTTTTTTTCAACGACATTTCTAGGTGAATTTTCCACACCCGTGCACATTGTTTCTCCGGCCAAACCACCACCATTTTTCTCAACCTGACATTGTTGTTTCACCTTCAAAAACTGTCATCATCTCATGTATCAATTCATTGGTGTGGCTCTAGATAGCTCAGCCCTTTATGGGTTCCATAAATGCTTTAATTTCTAGGTAATGTGCAACTTTTCATTCATCTAATGATCAATGAATAATTTATGTTTTCAACTTTGCTACGAGCACTAAAAATCACAGAATAGAGACAAATAGTGTAGGTTGCACAATTTTGTGACCCTAAACTCCATATCTGTGTCTATTTTGTGAACGAATCATGTGTATACATATATCTTTATATATATAAATATGTTTTAGGCCTAATAGGCAAATGTAACTAAGGTATATATTGCTGGTGCAACAAGTGATTTTGTATGCACAGTTTTTGAATAGAATTACTTATTTATTTATTTATTTATTTTAATCTTTCACCTTCTAAACTTATAGGGTCGATCCCACACATGTATTGAAGGAAACACAAAAATTTGTAACCATGTCTTATCGGATTCCTTCCTCGAGATCCAAATTGATGTCATACTCGCAACCTTTAGTGCAACCATTAGCGCAACCTGTAACGCAAAAATTAACAGATGATCCTCCTCCTGTCACACCGAAAACCGCTCAAAGTACCGTCACATGTGTATATCAAACCCATATCGAGGGTTATTGGCGAAACGTTACGGTTTTATGGTGCAAGAACCTCATGAACCACTCGATCACAATTTCTATAGACAGTGCAGAAAGTGATCGCCATCATTCTTGCAAGATTGACCTCAAGCCTTGGCACTTTTGGAGCAAAAAAGGGTTCAAGACATTCGAGGTTGATGGAAATCAAGTCGAGGTTTATTGGGATTTGCGTTCGGCTAAATTTTCCAATGGTCCCGAGCCAAAATCAGATTTTTATGTTGCCATAGTTTCCGAAGAAGAGGTTGTGTTGTTGTTAGGGGATTACAAGAAAAAGGCTTACAAAAGAACAAAATCGAGACCGGCCTTGGTTGATGCTGTGATGTTTTACAAGATGGAAAATGTGTTCAACAAGAAATGTTATCCGACACGAGCCAAGTTTGATCGGAGATGGAAAGAACACGACATTGTCGTGGAGAGTTCAACATTGGGGCTTAAAGATCCCGAGATGTGGATCAGCGTAGACGGTATCGTGATGGTCCATGTACAGAATTTGCAGTGGAAATTTAGGGGTAATGAGACCATGTTGGTCGATAAAATACCAGTACAAGTCTTTTGGGATGTTCATGCTTGGTTGTTTTGCAGCCCTGGCTCGGGACACGGGTTGTTCATATTTAAACCGGTTCAATCAGAATCTGATAGTGATAAAGAAGAGAACAACCGTGGCAGTGACAATGATGATGCCATTAGTATGTATTACTCAACTCGGAGTCATTCGAAAGCATCGGAGTTTTGTCTTTTTCTGTATGCCTGGAAGCTCGAGTAAATCGGTCTTCCACCAGAGAATTATGACATGTGATATTGTTATACATTTATGTATTTGTTGATACGATTTGATACCGAATATTAATAGATATCACAATACTGTTATTTAAAATTATGATCTACTCATTTCGCAATGAAATAAGATCTTGTATTGTTGTATCCCTAAGTTGTATTAATCGAATAGTGTCAACATACAATTGTAAATGATATAAAACAATAAATGAATTAGATTAGTATTGAAGTAAATCTGCCAGGCAATCAAAATTATCACAGGCCCAACACAAGACAATTGGCCCAAGTACCCACCAATACAATTAACTAACTAAAGCCCACTTTCAATTGACGAGTTACAATCAATTTCTATTTGTGCTCACACATTCTGTTTTATCTCAAAACTTCTGATATATTACAAACTATTTTTGTTAATAAATATCCTAAGAATATTTATTAAAAAACTTATGATAATTATAGGGTTGCACTTCTCAAGTGCAATTATAAGGCCCGTGGAGTCTACTATGAGTTATGTTTTGATAATACGAACCGTTCATTTTATTGGATCTTCTATATATATTATCAATGGAAAAAATTAGGTTGATTCAATAATTATATCATTTTTCATTTTATCACTTTTTTTTAAAAAAATTGGACAAGAAATGTACTTTTGAAAATATACCACCTATTTTTTAGAGACAAATAGAATAAAATAAAAATATTACAATTATCAGATTGACATAATTTTTTTCATAAATGATATATACGCAGACTTTTACAAAATGAACAATTTATGTCATGAGACACATGATGAGCCTCATGGACCCTTAAGTTCTCTCAAATTTAAACTTATTTGAGAAAGACCCAACCCAAGATTATATATTATTTATGAGAGTATGTATATCTTAAAAATATATAGAATTATTTTAAACGTTATCAATTAATACTTTTAGGGCTTGTTTGATTAATATGATTTATAGTGAGGGGACTAACAATCAATGAAATTAGTGTAAAATTAGTTATCTAGCTAGATTAGTGAGATACACAATTCTCTCTTGTCCTCGTTTGTTTTGCAATAGATATAAAAATATATAATCCCAATTATATGTATATTTTGCATTATTAATCGTAAGATTAAAAAAGCTGGTCAATTTTATTAGATAAAATGATCATTGAAATATAATCTGAATAATAAAATTTACAATCAAGCAATAAAATACAAATTCCATAAATTAATAATCTCTACTATAATCTATGAAACAAACAAGTCCTTAAAACAGTCCTTAGTGTTCATAAACTTGAGAATACTTATTAATTAGTCCTATTAATTAAATTTATTATAATGATTCTGGTTTAGACCCGACCCATTTGATATTTTGGATCCGGATTTTATTGTTGTATATGGTTGTTTATGTCCTATTTCATCTTACACTTATTGTTCTGTTTTGGTTACGTTTAGAACAGGTCGAGAGTTAATTTTTCAAAATAGTGGTTGCTTAGATTTTAGCTTCTTCGCTCGAGCAACACTTCCTGTACTCGAGTGGTCTTTGTGAACTTCCAACACTTTTGCAAATTTGCAGAGATACTGGAAGTTGGTATTCTTCGCTTGAGCAATCCTTCTTGCGCTCGAGCGATGCTTGCTCGAGCGGTGCTTCTTGTGCTCGAGTGTGGGTTTTCTGTCTGCAAAACTTTTGGGAGTTTGTAATCTTCGCTCGAGCAACAAACTTCTTTGCTCGAGCGATCACATCTTTTGTGTCTAGATGCTCGAGCGACACATCTTGTGCTTGAGCGACCTGCATGTATATCAGTTCGTAAAGTTACTTTTCTGAGTCACTTTTTCACTTCTCTCTCTCTCTCTCTAAACATTTCAAAACCTTATTTTCTCTCACTCTCTCTCTAAAACTCATTGATTTCACTCAAATATACCTAGATCTGTCGACATTTTCACCCATATCCCTTTGTCAAAATGGTAAAGCTCGACGAGGGCTTCGTTCTAATCGGAACAAAGTTGATTTTCGACGTTTTTAAGTTTTCTTCACTCTCTCTCTCGTCTTCTAAAGCTTGAGGTAGAGATTCTTTGCACTTTTTATAAATTTTAACTTAGTTATTTGTTATTTCTAATAATATTGTGATTTTGAAAATTTTTGAAACAAATCTAGGCTTTTGGATTAAAAATTAAAAGAGGGATTTTCAAATGAATTCTTGGAAATGGTTTTGAAATTGTAAATGAGGATGTGTAGTGATAAGATAGTATGTTTTTATCCTTGGGATTGATTCACAAAGAGAATAGGGATTTTGCCCTAAATGTCTCAAATGTTGATTTTGTATAAATAAAGGAATTAATATTGAAATTGGGAAATTAGATTGATATTAATGAGGATGATGGAGTTGGATATGTATTATTACTCACATCTTAAAATTTGAAAAGTTTATTTTTATTAATAATTGTTTATCTGTTTAGAAATATTTGTCTTGGGTTATCGGTGGAAGATAGCTATGAATGTTTTAGAAATTGCACAAGAATTAGGAGAATTGAAATTATTTTCTCATTCATTTGCATTGAGTATTATCTCACACTTATATATTGGAAATATTTATCGTTTGAGAAAAATGTGTGAATCTGGGAAGTATATATAGTTTCATTAAAATAAGTTGACATAGGTGTCCATGGTAAAAGTCTTAAAAACAGCGCAGATACATAGGTGCCGATCCCACGGACAAAATTTTCATAAAATGGCAATAATAATACTTGTATGTTTGCATGAGTGCCAGTTTACGATTTCTTGCGAACGAAATTTTCATGAAAGGTTGGAATGATTTTGAGATTTCCTAAGCGTGATTCATTGCCCAGTTTTCTATTGTAAAGGAATTGATTTATGAGTTGTCTTATAACCTAGCATTGCATGGTTTTGAAATAGATATAAAACGTTTTCGGCACGTGCATTGCATATGCATTCACCTTATAGTTTTGTTAAGATTCATATATTGGGTTGGATTATTTCTACTGGGCTTTGACTCACTTTATGTGGGAAAAACACTTTCAGGTGCTAATGATATACCTCTGCCAAGGCAATAGCTTAGGAGGATTTAGAGCAAGAGTCTCATTTTGTGTATTTGTTATATTTATTTTTGTACAAGCCAAGGACTTTAATTGTATTAGGTTTAAATCCGTTTTGTTATAATCAAGTGTTGACTTGAAAAGCTATAAGCTCTTAAGATATTTCTTATTTGTTTAACTTTCATTATATTTCTCTATTATGTAATATATGTTATAAATTCAAGATTAGACTTGTGAATGCATACTTGCATATATTACTCTTTTATACGAGTAATTGGAACTAATGAAAGATAATTATCTTAACATATATTGTTATGTAATTAATATTATGAATGGTCAATAATAATTATTTTGAGACGTGACATTTATTTACTTACGGATTATAACTTATTAGTAAAATTTAATAGACGAATAAATCTTAAAGTAAAATCTATTGACAATTCCCCCGATCCTCTCGTCCCAACAAATATCCAAAGAAAAATCAGATCCGGTGGCCGACATGTTTTAAAAAGCTAATGGGAGTGACGATCCGAGAAAGTGTCATCATAGCCCAACTACTTTTTTAACCATTAAGGGTGGATTTGAGGTTGACTTTTTTACTCTTTTTAATTTAATTTTTTTGGTACTCAGGTTATAGGTTTTTCTTTTAGAATTAATTACAAATACATTCTTCAGTTTTATTTAAAGTATAGATTATTTTTTGTAATTTAAAAAATTATAAATAACTTTTAAAAAAAAATTAACAAAATTAACTAAAAAAATAAAATTTATAATTGCTCTTTTTATATAATAATAAAATTACTTAAATTATTAATTGAAACATCTTTTTAATATTACTAAAAAATTGTTAATTAACTTGATAATTTATTAATAAAATGGGTGATTTCTTATGAAATTAGAAACCTCAAGAGTGGAATGTAATTTTCAAAACTACAAGAAGCAATTTTTATTTTAATCAAATCTCAAAAGATGTATTTGTAATTTAACTTTTTTTAATTTTTTATTTTTTAAGCTATTAGGCGCAAGCTTCAATATTTTTAGATTAAAAGAATATAATTTATTCAAAAGGACAACTATGTGTTGAAATCAATATATCTATTTATCTCTTAAAATCAATCTATTTATTGAAATCACTTAATTTGTCTATCTGTTGAAATTCATCAAACAACTTATCTGTTGAAATATAACACATGTCACTCATTCAACACCCTATCTATTGAATATCATATATTTCTTTGCCTCACTACCACTACCTATTGCAGCGTCTGCAACTTTTCCAAAGACTTTTTAGGCCAATTTTTAGGTGACTTTTCCGACATGTCCTTATCATTAAATAAGATTTTCCTTTAAATCTAATATCTTATACACTCTTTAGGATAAACTTTTCATCAATTTTTCCTAATTTTTTTGATATTTTAGAAATTATTAAAAATTATTTTGTTGGCTGAATAAAATTGATGTGCCATTGAATTATTTAAAGAAAATACAATTCAGTCTAAATGATTAAAATTAATTATACAAAATATGGGAGTGCAGCTCTAGCTCTTTCTGTGTAAAAATTTTCACGGAAAGAGTTGCACCCCCAGCTCGCTCCTTATAATTACTTTTTTGGTTATTTCGATTGATTTGTAATTTCCCATAATTTTTTTAATTGATCACACATGTAGTTTATAGGAACTGGGGAGATGTGGCACACATGGGAGCTAGTCTATGGTGTTGATCTGAACGAGCAAGGGTCTTTTGGAGTTTTTTTTTTTTAAATTTCTTAGAGTGGTGTATTGTGTAGTTGAGATTTAATAATAAGTCACATCAATTTTTCAGTACTAAATCTCAACCACACAATACACCACTTTAAGAAATTTTAGAAAAAAAACACTCTAGAAAATCCTTGGTGGATCTGAACCGTTATATTGGATAGATGCTTCATGAAAAAAAATTATATTAATTAAATATTTGTAATTTCAAAAATAAGATCACATTTATTTTTTAAAAAAATAAATAGCTAAAATAATTTTAATAATTTATTTTTACATAGATTTAATTAATGTGATTTTTTTTTAATAAATAATATATTTAACAAATCTTACAATATAAATAATTTATATTATCAAAATAAATTCGGAATAAGTCTCCATTCCACCTCACAACATATGTGTGCTCTCCCTTCTTGGTCCTGTTTGGTGTAGCTGTTAGAACATATCATAGATTATAACTTAACATATGTGTGCTCTCCCTTCTTGGTCCTGTTTGGTGTAGCTGTTAGAACATATCATAGATTATAACTTAACAGATTATAGATTATGACTTTAATCAGAAATTGTTAATCTGTTTGGTGTAACTGTTGGATTATAAATAGAGTAATGTTTGTTAAATAAGCTATGTAGTAATTTTTTTAATTAGCTTTTATTTGTTATTATTCACTATTTGTCTACATTTCTCATAAAAAATAATAATAACATTCTATAGTCCATTTTGGTCTTTTTCTATTTTTAAAAAAATTAAAAATTAAAAAATATAAGAGTATAACCGTGAATTAACATGTTCATAGCAGAAGCTGATAATCAGAAGCAAGGGGTGAGCAGCTTCTCAGAATCAGTTTTTTTGACTTAAAATTACTTGTTAGAATCATAAGCTGTTTGAAATAAGTTTAACCAAACAGTCCAAAATAACTTTTTAAAAGCTAGAAGTCATAAGTTGACTCAAAAAAGCCTCACCAAACACCCCCTTGTCCATAGCTTATGACTTTGACTTTTTAAATTTTTTTAACAAAAAATTGATTGTTTTAACAAAAAGATTGATTGTTTTATTATTAATCCCAAACGTTCACTTAAAGTTTTGTTCCCAAAAAAAAAAAAAAACTCTCGCTTAAAAGTGAAAGAACATAGAGTGTGATATGAGCATGGGATTGATATGAATATGAACAGCAGGTGTTTTTATAATTTTTATGAAATATAAGAAGCAACATAATTCTCAGACTCTTTTCGAAGTACAGATGGTTGCGAGTCAATCTTCACAGCTGGCATCTTCTTTTGAGATCTGCCCCTCTACGGCTCCACTTGATGATTGTTGTTCTCTGGTCCCTTGCACACCTCCTGAGGAATTATTTTATGCTGATGATGTTAGGGCTATGGTGGCTGGCGCCAAGCAGCGACAGCCCCATGCTGATTTTCAGCTGGAACTGTCAGGGGCTAGGCCGACCCCTGATAGTCCGGATCCTCCGAGGGTTGGTCTCAACCCATCGGCCTATGGTGGTTTTCCTCATGGAGACAAAAAATAAAACGGCTAGTTTGGAAAGAATCAGACGGCGTTTGCAATTTACAAATTCGAGTTATGTGGAACCAACTGGCCTTTCAGGAGGGCTGGCGCTTTGGTGGACTGACGATGTTCAAATTGACATCAGGTATCAATCTAAGAATTTGATTAGGGGCATTATTACTCCTCCAGATAAATCTACAGTTTGGGCTACCTCTTTTGTCTATGCCCCTCCTCAGCGTTCTCTTCGCAAGGTTTTTTGGTCTCTCTTCAAAAACATGGCTTCTGCATCTCATTATCCTTAGTTATGTATTGGAGATTTCAATGAAATTGGGGCTCAGTCTGAGAAAACAGGTGGTGCACATTGTCGTTTGAGTCAACTTCAAGCCTTCCAAGAACTTCTTTCTGACTGTGGCCTTATGGATCTTGAGTTTAAAGGTCCCCCCCTTTACATGGTCCAATAATCAGGTGGGTGCAGGTAATATCCATGAACGACTGGATCGAGCTCTAGCCACGGTGGGTTGGAGATCCTTGTATCCTTGTGCCCAGGTCTTTCACGAAGCCCGATTTGGCTCTGACCATAGTCCCCTCCTTCTCAGTTGTTGTGTTCCACTCAAGAAGGTTCCTAGAATTTTCAAATTTGAAACCATGTGGACGACTAGCCCAGCTTGCGAAGATGTCATTCGGTCTAAATGGGATGGACAACACTTTGGCTCCCCAATGTTTCAGCTAGTCTCTAAGTTAAAATCTTATAAGGAGGGTCTTAAGGCGTGGAGTAAAGCAACGTTCGGAAATAACCAAAGCCAAATTCTGAATCTCAAGTCCCAACTCATATCTCTCCAATCTCACCCTTTCTCAGAGGATAATGCTCTTTTGCAACGGCAATTAAAGGTGGATTTGGAGGAGGCCTTGTCCCGCGAGGAGATGTATCTGCATCAACGATCTCGTATTAGATGGTTGAGTTATGGGCACAGGAATTCCCAATTCTTTCATGCCTCAATGATTCAACGTCGTCAACGAAACCAACTTTTGAGACTTCAGAACGAGGCGGGCGTTTGGCTCCACACAGAACATGAAATCAATCAGCACCTCTTAGGGTATTTCTCAAATTTGTTTCACAGTGTTGGGCAGAGGAATGTAGAGGAAGTATTATCTATGGTAACTCCAGTCATTTTAAAGTCTATGAATCATCTTCTGGTCCGACCCCTCAGCGATCAGGAAGTTAAGGATGCAGTGTTTCAATTAGGCGCAGTTAAGTCTCCAGGACCCGATGGTTTTTCAGGGTGTTTCTACCATAAGTACTGGGCTGTGGTTGGGCCTCATGTATGCACTGTAGTGCTCAGCTTTTTCCTAGGTGGTCATCTCCTCAAAGAACTAAATCACACCAATTTGGTTCTTATCCCCAAAGTGAGTCACCCGGTGAAGTTATCCCAGTTCAGGCCTATCAGTTTGTGTAATTTCACTCTGAAGATCATCACCAAGATTCTTGCAAACCGGCTGAAACAGATTCTGAAGTCCATAATCTCTCCCAATCAATCGGCCTTTGTACCAGGACGAATGATTCAAGACAACTCCATTGAAGCACATGAGGCTTTCCACTTTTTAAAACATAAGAGGATGGGGCGAGCGGGGTTTATGGCCATTAAGCTGGATTTCAACAAAGCTTACGATCGCGTTGAATGGGATTTTTTATTGGAACTTATGCGCCGAATGGGGTTTGCTCCGAAATGGATCCAGTGGGTTTCTGAATGTATCACTTCGGTCATCTTCTCTATCTTTGTCAATGGTGAAAAACGGGCTGCTTTTACCCCGTCTTGTGGGTTACGGCAAGGAGACCCCCTCTCTTCGTATCTCTTTATCCTAGTTGCGGATGTCTTATCCAAACTGATCAATCACAATCTTCACATGGAAGCAATTTTGGGCTTCAAGATCAATAGACACTGTCCCACTCTTTCTCCCACTTGTTCTTCGTGGATGACGTATTATTATTCCTCAAAGCAGACCAGGCTGAATGTTCGAAGGTCTTGGATATCTTGAATTCCTATTGTACTGCGACCGATCAGTTGGTTAACTTTGACAAGTCTAGTATCCAATTCTCACTCAATGTCCCTTTCCCCATTCGCAGAAGCATAAGACTTCTCTCTGGGCTTCGGGAAACTTCGGTTGATGCAAAGTATCTAGGCCTTTCAACTTTTTAGGGTAGGTCTAAGGTGGAGGCTTATGGCTTTATTATTGAGCGAGTAAAAGCTAAATTGCAGGGCTGGAAACTTAAACTGCTCTCTCATGCAGGGTGGGAAATTTTAATAAGAGCTGTAGTGCAAGCTATCCCATCTTACGTCATGGCATGTTTTATCTTCCCTAGGAACTTCTGTGCCAAACTCAATTCTCTCATAAGCAAATTCTGGTGGAATGGCGACCCGGAGAGCAGGGGCATTCATTGGGTAAACTGGGCCCAATTGACACTGCCAAAATCTGAAGGGGGGTTAGGCTTCAGAGATTTTCATGACTTCAATCTAACCTTGGTAGCAAAAGCAAGGATGGCGCCTGGTCAAGTATCCTAACTCCTTCTGTGCTAGAATGTTAAAAGGGATCTATTTTCCTCATTCTAACTTCATGGAAGCCTCTAGGGGTCAGTGCGTTTCATCGGCTTGGGCAAGTTTGATCCAAAGCAGAACACTCCTATGCAAAGGTGTCCGTTGGCAAGTGTATAATGGTGCTTCCATCAAATTTTGGGATGATAAATGGATCCCTTCTCTTCCGGGATTTAAAGTTTCCTCCCCAAAACCTCCCATCAGCCGGGTTAACACAGTGGTGGACATAATTGATACTTCTCATGGCCTTTGGAAAGTCGATGCTCTACAGGGTCTGGTCTCGGCGGCCAAAGTCAAAGCAATATGTTTAATTCCTATTTCTTTGGCTCACCATGAGGATACGCAGATTTGGCATCATGGGAAATCGGGGGTTTACACAGTCAAATCGGGCTATCACGTTGCGGGCCAGCTGAAGAACATCCCAGATGCTCAACTTCTCTCCACCTCTTTCTAGATTCCACGGGATTTTTGGAAATTTGTTTGGTCTCTCAAGGTTCCTCCTAAGGTCCGCCATTTTTGGTGGCGAGTGTGCAAGAATGCTTTGGCAACTAAGGAAAATTTATTCAGACGGAAATGCAGCCCCTCTAATATGTGTCCTATTTGCATGAAAGAAGTGGAATCGACGGAACATCTGTTGTTTGGCTGTGGTTGGGTCAGGGCTGTCTGGTTTGGGAGTGATCTAAATTTTAAAGTCGATTGGGCTTCTATCTCCTCTGTCCTTCAATGGGTTTGTGAGGTTCGAGAATCATTTATTCACAAAGAAGAATGCATCTAATTTTTTAGCTCAGTTGCTTGGTTTAGCTGGTTTGTTTGGAAGGAGCGCAATGCCTTTGTGTTTAATTCTACCCCAGTAGACCCCTTCTATACCGTTCAGCAAGCTCAATGGGCCAAAGATGAGTTTTTGCAAGTTACAGAGATTTCTACCCTCATGCGCCACGAGTCCTTCATCCATACCTCCCAAAATTCTGGGTGGCAGCCCCCTCCCAGTGGGAATTTTAAGATTACTTGTGATGTGGCTACTCTTAAGGGATCTAACAAAGCTTCCATCGCAGCTATTTTATGGGATTCTTAGGGGAACATCCTCGACGGTTTGACTCAGCATGTTTGTATAGTTACTGTGCTTCAAGGCGAAGCTCTGGCCTGTCGTCTAGCTTGTTAGCTTGCCTCCTCCCTCAACCACTCTAGAGTTGAGATCGCAAGCGATAACAAATCGGTAATTCTTCTCAGTGTCTCCGAATCTGTTCCTCCGTGGGAATGTGCTGCGGTGATTGCTGATATTAAACTGATGGCCCTCACCGGTGACTTCTCCTTTCTGTGGAGGCCACGAACAGCCAACAAAGGGGCCCACTTGGTGGCTCATCATCATCTTCAGAACAGTCTCCCTCTCGACTGGGTCTTCAATCCCCCTCCTGGGCTTGTGGCTTGTCTTGCCTCGGCTTAGATTTATTGGTTGTGCTGTTTTGTTTTAATGTTTTTGCTTTTCAGTTTTCTGTAATGTCCACTGATCAAAAAAAAAAAAAAAAAAAAGAAGAAATATAAGAAGTATTGTGTAGAATTTTTTTTATTTTTTATTTTTTTGAGATCTCTACCATCATCATTATTATTATTATTACTATTATTATGAAAGAATCTAAAAAAAAAATTATCAAATATTTTACATAATTCTCATGTAGGTACATATCTTATATGACATGAATCTACACCCATATAACTATTGTATAAAATTTTTGATAAATTTTTATTTTGCCCCTTAGCACTATATTTTTATGGGTAAATTTTACCTTGCCCATTTTATGTTTGGCTATTTTTTTTATTTGGTCATTAAAATTTGTTTTTTCCCACTTTGACCATTAATGTTTTAAGTTTTTTTCCAGTTTACTTTTAAAATTAATTTCTATTTAAAATTAGACAAAAAATACCATGTTAACTGTCATGTAGCATAAAAATATTTCATTAGATATAACTCACACCTCTAACACAAATTCAAATTTTAATAATATATATATAGTTGTATATTATGTGGTAGTTAATGTTGTATTTTCTATCTACTTTTAAACAAAAATTAACTTTACCAGTAAATTATGAAAAAATTTATGTAAAGGGTCAAAGTGAAAAAATAAAATAAAATAAAATAAACTTTAAGATCAAAGTGAAAAAATTATCAAATATAAAAGGACAAAGTATAATCAACAATGATAGAGGGCCCTAATTTTTGTGGCTCAAATGGCTCGAATTTGTCAAAACGATGTCGTTTTGAGTACAAAACAACATCAAAATTGTCAAAACGACGTCGTTTTAACAAATTTGAGCCATTTGAGCCACAGAAATTAGGGCCCTCAAACATTTTCCAAGTATAATTTATTCTATTTTTATTTAGGAATAATTACACCTTAGTAGAAGTCAGGAAAAAAATACATATTCAAGAAAAAAAATTATAATTATAATTATTAATATTTATAAAATTTCTTATTAATTTGTAATTATTTATTAAGTTTCTTATTATTTGTAATTTGATATTTGCCCTTTTATTATATAATCTCACGTCTTATAACTGTCGGCCGAGTGGTTTGTTGCTGCTGCTTACTCTCTCTCTCTCTCTCTCTCTCTCTCTCTCAAATGGCAACTCCAAAATTGATAGATATTTTACTTGACAATGTACAGTAAGGGCGCGTTTGACAATTTTGTTTTTTCAATTTGTTTTTTTGATTTTATGGTAATATTTGTTTTAATTGAAACAAAATATAATGGAATAATTATTTAGTAGAGATTAAAAAAAATAATATTCAAATTAATCAAATATGTTTGAATTGTTTAAATTGAAACTTCGTTATATTTTTTCAAAAATAAGATGTTTTTTCATCTATCTAACTATTGGAGAAAACAACATAAAATTATCCTTTTTATAAAACAATAAAAAATTATGAAAAAATCTCTTTGCACATCATACAAACTATCAGTAAATATCAAAAATATTGTTTGGATATAAACTTTTAAATACATATCAATTGTTCGTACTTAAAGTTATAAATAAAAATAAATTGTTCAAATATATATTCCGTTCAATTATTTATATCCGAATAATTACTTTATATTTATAAATTTATATTCAGACATTTGACTTTTATTTGACTATTTATATCCAAACACTATTTATGGTGTTTATTGAGAGTTTGTACTATGTACAAATAGAATTACTTTAAAATAATACATCTATAAAAGCTGATTTTTCCAAAATATCCTTCAAGAGTCCACCAAAAAAACAGGAAAAAAAAAAAAGAAAAGAAAAATGGAAAATTTAAAAACAAAGCAAAGGCAAAATAGAAATAGAAATAGAAATAGAAATAGAAGTCTTCCATAACAAAGCAATTCTTATATAGGTCTCTTTTAGCAAAGAGGTTAAAAGTAACTTTTTTAGTTTTTTAGTTTTTTTTTTTTTTTTTTGAATCATATCATTTTTCTATTTTTTTCATATTTTTTTTAAAAAAATTCAAATACATGTCAAAATATATGCAGCCTAAAATAGTTGAACTTGGGCCAAAAGAAATTGGCTCAAATTTTGTCATACTCGGCTTGTGCCAAACTAAAGGCAAGTTTGGGAAATTATTAGTCAATTTTTTTAAAAAAATCACTAAAAAAATTAACAAGTCAAAAACTTATTTTTTTTAAAAAAAAAGTTAAATATTTCATTTTCTTTCTATTTTTTATACATTTTTTTTTTCCATAAAAAGTCAAAAATATCTCAAACTTATTAATTTTTTTTACCGCATATTTTAACAAAAAAGTCAAAAAAAATACTAAAATAGCATATTCTCCAAACCAATCTTAAAGTTAATTTTAAAAATTGGTTTATAAATTTTTTTTTTTTAGTTTTTTAGTTTTTTTTTTTTTTTTTGAATCATATCATTTTTCTATTTTTTTCACATTTTTTTAAAAAAAAATTAAAATATAGTTTTTAACCTACTTTTCAAAACACGCTATAATATATATATACCCCATTTATAAAAGTACGAAGAACCTACCATATTTTCTATTTTTTTTTAAATCTCAATTGTGCCCTCTCAAATCTACAATATTTTTTAAAAGTCATGAAGAGTCCTAATAAACCAACTATGTCTTTATTTTTGGAGTTGAACACTCAAAAATGATATATCTGTTTCCAAGAGTCCTATATAAATATAAATAAATTGTCTCTCTTCTTATCAACAACAACAACAACAACAAAAAAGTCATCTTCCTATTTTTTACATTGATGATGATTGAAGAACAAAATATAATTACTCTTTCTTATTTTCTGTATCTGCTTCTATACTGATATACATAATATTTATAATTTTCCGTCATTGATCAAATCACTGTGAATAATTTTGGTTAAATCTTAAAGTTGTACGCATTCGTTCAAATCTAAGCCTTCGTTGACGATGTGGGTTGGCTTTTTGACTTTTTAGTTTATTGGCTATTTTAGCTTAGGGCTAAAAAGTTTCGTTTAGGATGGATTTTTTTACTTTTGTGAGAGAAAAAATGAAATGATTATGATTTGAATGTGACATTTTGTCTTATCAAGCTAAAAAACCTATTTTTGTCTTTTTGTGGCTAAAATAGCCCTAACCCAACCCAACCCAACCCAAATCTTCATGCCAAACATAGTTTAGATAGAGGAAAGCACATGTAGAGATTTGTGTTACATCTCAAAAATTCATAGGTTATCTTTATACATTTTCTTTTTGTTTAAATTATATTTTATGAATTTTAATATTTTACATTGTACTTTAATAACCAATGTATAATGTCAAAATTATAAACAAGAACCACTTACGTTAGTTTTATTTTTTAAATCTATTTTTTAGTTTTTGGTTTTTAACATTTTCTCAATTTTGGTGATTAAAAATACTAAAATTTCTTTATATTTTATATTTAAATTATACTTTTAAATGAAAATCTAATATCTAATAATTTAAACTAAAAAGTAAAATATTAGTAAAAAAATTATAAATTCAAACATGTATTATTTTTTATTGGATAATTCCTGGTAGCTTGAATAATTGGCTCGACTTTTGGCTCGAATTTGTAAAACGACGTCGTTTTACATTTTTTTTTTTCCCTTTCTTTTTCTTCCTTTTCTTTCTTTCTTTTCTTCTTTTCTTCTTCGTCTTCTTCGTTGAAACCAGGAACAGAGGGGAAGAGGAAAGAGGGAGCTCCCCCGTCTCCGCCCGTCGTCCCCGTCGCAGCACGCCGCCGATCGTCGCAGCACGCCGCAGCTCCGCGCAGCCCCGCCTCCGGCCCCGACTCCTCCTCCAGCCATTTTTATGGCCCCCTCCCCTCCCTCCCCCTTCCTCCTCCACCTCCTCCTCCCTCCTCCTCCGACTCCGACTCCGACTCCGATGAATTCGAGCTACGAATCATCGCCGCTATCCTATTTAAGTCACATTATATTATTTAAATCACATCACGCCGTTT